CGGGATTTAAAAACCAAAAGCAACTAATGAAAGCAACTCAAAAGTACTTAGAAAGCAACAAAGAAACACTAAAAATGATCAAGAGAAGAAAGCAAGGCTTGATGACTTTGGTGGAGAAGCGGCTGGAATTTATAGTTGTGTAGAATTGGTTAGGTAGGTCCTAAAACGATGGTGAATCACCCATTTCCAACATCTTTGACTGACTAAATCGTGCTCAAACTGATAGTGGAACACTTCTTCTACACATATGCATCGGTTGGAACCACCAAAACGCATTGGAAGACGCGTTTCATTAAGGGCAAAGTTGGAAGAAAACTAGTTTTTCTGCAGCCACGCAGGCGCTTGGCACCTCCCATGTAGGTTTTTCCGACTTTTTGCTTCTTTTGATTAATTTGCACTCCCAAATGGTCCTAAAATGTCATAAATACAATATAAGCCAACCACAAACCATCATATATGAATTTTGCATGAATTGGAACTCAAATGACCGAGAAAAAGTCAGAAACAAAGTTAAAACATAGTAAAAAGAGCATCTAAAACCTTCTTTTTACGCATGTAAACAAGCGTAATCATTTTCCACAGACATAGCAGACCAGTTTAGATTTCTCGATTCTTCCACAAGTATTTTTAGGTTTGAGACCTTTGTTCTTTTTAGCTTTATCCTTTGCAATTTGCTTCCCTTTATTCTTGAACCCGTCTTTGGAAGCACTAGAAGATTCAACTAAGTTAGCTTTAACTGAATTTAGGGATTGAAAAAAGAGCTTATCCTTTAGCCTGTTGGCTTCCTCCGTGCGCACGTGACTGATCAGCTCTTGCAGAGTCAGGTCCTTCTTCTTATGTTTCAAGTGGTTGTGATAATCACTCCAGGAATAAGGGAATTTCTCGAGCAACACATTGGCCTGAAGAATCTCGCACATCTTCATGCCTTTAGACAGTACACTTGCCACTAGGTTCTCGTACTCATGAACCTGGTTCATCACCGATTCATCGTCCGACATTTGAAATTCAAGCCATTTACCGACGACGTACTTCCTTCTGTCAGCATCGTCCCCACCATATCTAGACTCAAACATGTCCCAAATGATCTTTGCAGATTTTTGGACTACAAAGAGATAAAAAAGAGAGTTGTTCATATGGTTGAGAAGATGCCCAAGGATCGTTTTGTTGTCTTTCTCGAATTTGTCAGCTTCGACAACAGTAGACGTCCCGGGAACAGTAGCAGCAACTGAAACGGTGGTAGCGACAATGGTAAGCGGACCAGTGACGGTTGCGGTGACGGTAGCGGTAATTGTAGCAGCGGCGGCAATAGTGGTGGCAGCGGTAGTAACGGCGACAGGCTGAGCAGTAGTGAGAATGCTACTCAAAGAAGATCAATAACTTTTGTGACCATCGGTGGTAGTTGGATCCGTCAAGTGGTTCTAATTTTGACAAGTCTGGTAGGACCTTCGCAGATCAGATAGCAGCCATTAGTAGTTTTTGCTTTGAATTGTAGGAAAATAAAGGACAAAATTGGAACCAAGAGGTAAAAACGTTTGTCGTGGGCGAAACCACTGCCTTGAAAGCAAAATCGGTACGACCTCCGTGCTAAATCGTTTTACTGTCAGTACGCTCCCCAAGGTTAACACAACCTCCAATTCAAACGTGCACTCGTCGGAATGGGAGTTGAATCAATCTCGTGTTAGTTAAGATAGTTGAAAGAGGTGGGAAAAGTGAAGGAATAGATGGGAGATTGAGATGAATGGGATGATTTGAAATGGCAGGGGAGTCAGTCTTTTATAGTGACAGAGTGGCCCAAAATAACATTGAAATTTTAAAAAATAAAAATTAAAAAATGATTTTAACCACCCATTTGTCCTTCAATCAACGTTCATCTATCTACATATCCAACAATTCCTCTGGGTTGCCAGAAATTTGTCCCAAAAGGAAAGTCAGGCCCGAGCCAACGCGGCGCGTGTGGGCCTTGGTCTTGGCTTGCCTCACACCAACTTATAAACCCAATACAGAGTCAATGCTTATAAACCAACTTCCCAAATGTTATCCTTCCGATGTGGGACAACAACAGGTTTTAATATTTGTCATTCCTAACACTCTTTAGTGCATGCAGAACAAAATGGGAGAAATAAATTCTGGCGATGCTCTCAGAGAAGGCGAAAAATGATAGATGAAAACAAGAGAGAAGATGAAGGGGAAGGAGAAATAAGAACACCATTTTTTTAAGGGGTTAGACATACAACCTTCATCCACTATAGGGAGAAGATCTTTACTAATTTTCACCGTACAAATTTTACAAGGTAACTTTCTCAACTACTCCCACGTACAAAATTAATTGGTTTTTTATACATGGGTTTCTAACCTTTAACCCTTGGGTAATTGATACAATTACTATGAGTCTTGAGATGATTACATGGTCGGACTTGTTGAAGCTTTGCCAGGTTGACTTATTGAAGCTTTAGATAATATGCCATGTTTGGTTAATTCACTCAGACCTTTGCTGCTGATATGTGAATCTTTTGTGCCATAAATCTCCATTGGTTAGTTCCCCACCCGTAGAGACTAAAGCTGTGCTGAATTTTTCAACATCTTTAACAACAAAAAGTCGATTGATTTTTTCTCCAACAAGCACCAACCTGTAATCTTTTGATACCTCTAGAGTACCATCTTACGCACTATATTTACAGTTGATTGAACCTAACATTTCCAACGAGATTAAATTTCATATGCCTTACATTTTGTTAGATTTTCGTGTTGAACCATCTTTTAATCTCAAATAAACAGTGCATATTCCCACAACCTTTCATACATTGTTATTTCCCATGTAAATAAGTCTTCCATCCCATTCCTTGTAGGTGTGAAACCACGCTTTTGATGGAGTCATGTAATATGAGCACCTTGAGTATAATACCCAGTCATGTTTTTCTAGAGAGGTGTCCCCTTGTGATTAGTGGCTGCAAGTACATCTGAGTATGTGATAGAGTTTTCACTCACTGAAACTTCTGCTCATTTCCCTTTCTTTTGCTTTGTGTTCTGTCTTTTCTGGAGGAAATAACGGTCCTTCTTTAAGTGACCTATTTTACGACAGAAGTTACACTTTTCTGGTTTTTTCTCTATCTTCGTACTGATTCTTTTGATATTTCTCATTGTTCTTGAATTTTCCTTTTACAAAATGTCCCTCTGCATTTGAGTTTTCTCTTTTTCTAGCCTGCAATTCTAGCTCCTTTGTCTTGACTGCAGAAATAATTGCATCCGTGGTTATGGATTCCCTACCGTACTTTAGAGCAACTTTTACTTCTCTATAAGATTCCGGTAGTGAATTCAGAAGAATAAATGCTTCATTCTCAGCACCTATCTTTTCTCCAAGACTATTAAATTCTGATGAGAGTTTCTTGAAGTCGTCTAAGTTATCACTCAGTGTCTTAGAGCTATCCATCTTGTACGTGAAGTATTTTTCCCGTAAATAGGCTTTGTTCGGTAAATCTTTTGACAAAAAAAGAGTATCTATTGTCCATTTTCATAGGCTGTTTTCAAATCTATAACCTATCTTAGAACGCTATCACTCAAATTCAGTATCAAGTTTCATATGTCATTTCTTGCATAACTTCCTTTTCTTCCTCTGTCATGGCGTCTGGCCATTTTGTAGGGTCTGTAATCGCTTTAGAGGCTTTCTGCTGCCCAAGAATTGCTTTAATCTTGGTTTTCCATAGTTCGAAATCCCCTTTACCATCAAACTTTTCGATTTCATACCTTGCAACTGCCATCTTGAATATTTTCTTGAAAAGAAAGACTGGTTCTTTCTGTTGATCTATCACTTTCTTTTTCTCTGCAAGCTCTAATACCAATTTTGTTGAGATTTTACCTCACCTTAAGCCTCTTGCTTCTCTTTAGTACATGCAGAACAAAATGGGAGACACAAATTCTGGCGGTGCTCTCAGAGAAGGTGAAAAATGATTGATGAAGACAAGACAGAAGATGAAGGGGAAGGAGAAGAAAAACAGCAATTTTTTAAGTGGTTCGACACACGGCCTACATCCACTATAGGGAGAAGATCTTTACTAATTTTTACAGTGGTTTCTAACCTTTAACCATTGGATAATTGGTAGAATTACTCCTTCTTGAGCTGATTTCAACTTACTCAATACTACACTCGGAATCTCGAGATATTTGGGTATCCTAAGATGCGACATCTAACCAATTTTGGATGGCCTTTTGAAATATAGATTCCTTTTCAATTTTCATAGGGTCCTTTTCGCCGTTCCTTCATATTACAACTTCTCTCTTCATAGGTTCCTTTTCAATCCTTCCCGATCACGGTACGACTTCACTAACATTAATCTCCCAAATCAAAATTATACTGTTCTATAATTTTGATAATATTTGATACTATAAAAAATTAATTATTATGTTATTGGACATAGGAATTTGAATTTAGAAGAAAATGTATAATAATTTGATTGTGGTTATAAATATTATAAATTAATTTAATCCCTTAATTATTTTTGCTCCAAAAATAAAATCTTTACGACTGTTAATTATCCTTCGAGTTTTAATAATAATGTGATTATTATACTAAATATCATATAAAATTTTTCATAAATTAATGACTAAATAGTATTGTATTAAAATAAAAAATAGTTTATCAAAAATATAGAAATAATTAATAATAAAACTTGCATATACACTGATAATTTCATGCAGGGGTGAAATTGCTAAGTATTTCTTAACTAAATAAAATAGACAATCGTGGACCCTTACTCTTTTGAGCCCAATGTTGTCGAGGCCGCTTCTTTGTAAAAGAAAATTTGCATAAAATATAAAAATAAGAAAAAAAAAATGTTGCTGCCCAGGATCGAACTGGAGACCTTTAGTGTGTAAGACTATCGTGATAACCACTACACCACAGCAACTTTACAATGATCGATGAGTTTTATATATTTTGAAATAATAATAAAGCTTTTTAAATTTTTAAATTAAAAAGATACTTTCCATATTTTAGGTAAAAATTTTCAAGATTTTATTCTTTTTTATTTGAAGTAAATAATTTGGACGTTTATATTTACTTAGTTTATATTGTAAATTATAAATGAATTCAAATTCATCTATAAGATAAAAATATGAAATAATGATAAATATATAGTTTTTTATTTTTTATTTTAGTTTCTCATTTCAACTATTTTTATCAAAATAAATTTAATTTATTAAAATTTTTTTGCTAAATATAAACTTACGACCTTTTGATCGGAGATAGGTGTCTTAACCCGTTCAATTATGTGCTCGGGTTTGCTTTGCTAAATATTTTAAGGCTATTCTGTTGTATGTATATAGATTAGTAGATTATCACCTGCCACGTAAGATTTTTTAATTCAATATTTAAAAACCCACTATTTATCAGAAAAAATAATAAATGGCAAAAAAAAGAGTTTCTATAAAAAACTTCAATTCATGGTTATAAAAGCTATACAGTTGTAAAATTTATGGATTAAAGCTTTATAATTAATTATAATTAAAGATAAAATATTTAAAAGTAAAATAGAAAAAATTTTTCATTCAATCTTTTTTAAATTTCATACATTAATCAACTTAATGAAACATTTAAATCTTCATCTATGGTTAATTTTTCAAAAATTTTCTAAATACTTTTTTGAAAACAAAAATCAAATTAAATTTAACTAAAAAAATCTAACAAAATCTTTAAATATACCAAAAAATTATGTTTTTAAGATTTTATGTTTAAATAAAATCTAACAACCTATTTAAAAACAAAATCTTAAAATAAATTAATTTAACTAACTAAGCATTGAAAAATAAATTTATAGCTAAAATTTTTAAATGTAATGATATCTCCCCATAAATATTAATAAAAAGAAGTAGAGAATAATGACTCGATAATGAGAAATTGTTATGTGGAGACTTATAACTCAAATCTAAATGTCATAAGTAGAAAATGAATTTTTATCGAAGTTGTCATTCTGCATATCAAAGTGGCGAAGGAATGAGAGGTTGGTGAAGAAAAAATAAATTGTGAGTGATTGTTAAGTTGGAAATCAATGACTCAAACACTATTGAGTTCCAGACATCAAAAAAATGCATATATTTTTTCTAGTACCTAAGATACCACATCTGATCTAATTTTTAAAAAATTAGAGTTACTTTAAAATTTAAATGCTTGATAACAATTAGTTACGATATTCTTAGATTTTTTTTGTATAGTTAAACTTAATTTACTTTTATTCGTTGTTTAAAGATTTTTATAGTTAAATTAAATTTAAAGTTTGTTTTCTTAAAACGATAGATTTTTTTTGTTTTAAGATTTTGTTATATATTTTTTAGTTTAATTTAATTTGATTTTTGTTTTTAAAATATATTAAAAAAATTTTGGCCGCCCTCGATAAAAAGATTTTGAAAAAAAAAATAATTACAAGTCGTCTTTTAAAGGGACGACCTACGATATGTGGCCAAAATGCAGAAGTGATCNGACTTATAGCTACCACTTCATACATTGTCTCTACCATCTATTTTCTAAGTATTATTCTTTTTGGTGGATGGTATATTTTTGGAATATGTCTAATAATAAGTCATATTAAAAAAAAATTTCAAAGATAGGTGTCAATTAGTGCTGATCAACTAAGATTATATTGAAGTTAATAGTACTTATTTAAAATCTATATTGTATTCATTTTGTACTTAATTAATAATTATAGTAAATTGCTATGATTAAAGAGTTAATTTTAGTCTACTTTTACTCTATTATATTAATTTTAATAAGTTATAATTAATATATAATTAATGAGAGAAATATACTTTTAGAAATTAAATTAAATATATTATTAACTAATTATTAACAATATTTTAAATTAGCTTGAAGTTTTTTTTTTATTTGAAAGAAAATATTTCTATAAAAATTCGAGATTATTTTTTAACTAATTTTTTATTTAATACTTATAAACCATATTGTGTTCATAAAAAAAAATAAGAAGAAAACTCAAGAAATAAAGATAATAACATTTTTCTTAAACTAGTTAATAACACCTGCATTGCAGGTGATTTTAAATATTTTAATATAATGTCTCTAACATTTAACCTATAGAATGACAACTAAACCGAATTTTTAAATGGTACTAATATTTAGTTTTCAAATAAAATATATTAGTATTGGTTGATATTTTATATAAAAAATACAGTATTCCAACTAAAAAATAAGACAATAAAATAAGATGTGTAGAAAACATTGAATATGATCTAAATTTGAAATAATAAATGTGGTTATCAATTTTTTATTAAAAATATTTTTATAAATTTAAAAATAAGTAAATCTAAGGCATGATATATTAAATCAAATTATGTAACTAAAAATCTAAACAATGAAATTATTTGTTAGATAGTCAAAATTATAGTAGGAATAAATAAAATTGACCGTTTATTACTCTTAAGCTACTTTTTAAAATTGAAAATTGACAAATCAAATATTTTTTTAAATATAAAAATAAAATATCAAATAAGAGAAATTAAAGAAATGAAATTTTAGAAATAAACTGAATAATGGGTACTGCCATGAAATTATTAAAAAAATATGGGATGAAGAATCACACGACCAAGAAAAATAAAATAGGAACAAAGACATATTAAGATAAATATGAAAACTAATACTAAAATATAACATGAATATATTTTAAAGCTTGAAAAAAGATTAACTGAATATTAAATTAAACTTGAAAAGAGCCTTAACTAAATATTAAAATACGAAGGTATCATGAATATATATAATTGAAAATAATCTACATAAAAAGATTAAAATAATCTAAAAAAACTAAAAGTTAAATCCTAACCGAAATGCATAATTTTATACTGTACCTCTTTAATAGATTAAATAGATTTTGGAATTCAGATATACAAAATTAAAAAATCTAAACACATAATCTAAAAATAGTTAAGATATATAATAGTAACTACCCACGTCAATTAGGAAACAGATAGTCAAAATATGATCTGTACAAAATTAACATCAATTTAGAAATCCAAAAAGTAAAATTAATAAATACAATATATATATTTTAAATCTCAGCTCATGACCGATGAAGGTGGATGTTTTTTTAGCGGATGAAATAGACAAAATCATGAGAACAATTTAGACGAACTTGTAGTCTCCTTGGACAGAGGCATTGTCTGCTATGGGTGAATTGCAGAAAAAGGAATGTGTTATATAGTCAATTTTTTTTAAATTTATCTCAACCTGAATCTTCAATAGAGTTAAATGGGGAATGAAGAATGAAGATGCTTGTATGTTGGCCATGAAAGTGTACTGTCATGCTTAGTCCTCTCTTAGGTTAAAAAAAATATAAACATAAAATAAAAAATCCAAAAGATCATGAAAAGAATATACAAATACAAATATTAAATATAATTTTATAAGGATCCAAAAACAAATAATTAAAG